CCCTGTCCCAGGGGCCCATCCCCGGGGCGGCCGCTTGGGGGGGTCGGGTCAGGGCCGTGCCCAGGTCCCACCCCCCCCGGCACGCGTGTCCCAGCCGGTGCCCGTCGGCAGGTGACGGCGGGGCAGCTGCGGGAGCGGGGCAACGCGCTCTTCCAGGCGGGGGACCACGCCGCGGCCCTCGCCGCCTACACGCAGGCGCTGAGCCTTTGCGACGGCGAACCGGAGCGAGCCGTGCTGCACCGCAACCGGGCCGCCTGCTACCTGAAGCTGGTGAGAACGGGGCGGGTGTCTCACCGCGGGGTTCCTGCGGGAACCTGCCCGGCTGCCCCGGCCTGCTGGGGCTGTGCTGCTGGCGGCTGCCCCGGCCCATCCGCCTTCACTGGCTGCGCTGGGAGGCCCTGTCGGTCCCCGGGCAGGGCGCAGTCGGTCCCGTGTTTCCTCCGTGCACCTTTTCTCCTGTCCCTGCCCGCTGTCCCATGCTGCCTCACCTCTTGGGTGGACTGTCGGGGCCAGGGCAGGGCACTGCCATCCCTGCCTGGGCTGTGTGTATGCACTGGGGCTGTTCCCCAGGCAGTCACAGCGTCTCTGATCTCCCACCGTGGAACTGTTTCTGAGGCAAGGGGGACCACAAGGAACTTCAGGGGCTCAAGTAGACCGGGAGCACTTGAAAAGCATCGGGGACCCTAGGGCTCCTCAGGGACCCCATGAGGGTTGCGTTTTGGGAAGGACAAGATGTCCTCTGGGCTGGCTTGCTGTCCTCAGTGATGCTGTTCCCATCCTCAAACCGCACAGTCCTTTTCCCTGCTCTCCTTTCTAAAGCAGTAGGTGCTGCCTCTGCCTGCAGCAGGCTGGGCTGAGCAAGGCCTGCATGGGCAGTGCATCAGGTGTTTCCCTCTCGCTGCCTTTGTCTCTCTCTGTAGGAGGACTACGCCAAGGCAGAGGCTGATGCATCTAAAGGTAATGTCAGTGGTGGCTGGCAGGGGACTGGCCTCTGTGCACTGCCCATCTGGGCAGACCAGAGCAGTCGAGGGGCTTTGCAATAGATCCCCTGCTCATCCGCAGCCATTGAAGCCGATGGCCGGGACATGAAGGCACTGTTCCGCCGGAGTCAGGCGCTGCAGAAGCTGGGCCGCCTGGACCAGGCTGTCAGCGACCTGCAGCGGTGCATGAGCCTGGAGCCCAAGAACAAGGCCTTCCAGGAGGCCCTGCGCGCCCTGGGGAGCAGCATGCACGAGAAGGTGAGCGGGGAGGCATTGTGGGGGCTGGGGCCTGCTGTGGCCCCCCTGTGCATGTGGTGGACTGAGGAAAGTGGTAAGGGCTGAGTCACTCTGCTCTCTCAGATGAAGACTATGTCCTGCACAGACTCGAAGGTGGCGCAGATGTTCCAGATCTTGCTGGATCCTGAAGAAAAGGATGCGGACAAGAAGCAAAAGGTCTGAACTTGGGAGAGGAGGGCAACATGGCTTGGTTGGAAGGCAAGGAGGGGAGGAACGGTATTCCCAGGTCAGCACCGCTGGCTTGAACGGTGCTGCCCAGCAGAGGCCGGGCCTCCTGCCAGCAGAACGTGCTTCCCGGAGATTGGGGGTGGAAGGCAGGTGCCTGCAGCCATGCTGGCTGCCCAGCCGGCTCCTGCTGGGGGGTTCCCTGTGCATGGTGGGCTGTGTTCTGACGGGCAGGTGACTTAGACAAGACTCTCCTTTCGCAGGCTGCGCAGAATCTGATTGTGCTGGCACGAGAGGAGGCTGGAGCAGAGAAAATCTTCCAAAGCGATGGTGTGCGGCTGCTGATGCAGCTGCTTGACACAGTTAAGGCCGACCTGATGCTGGCAGCCCTGCGCACCCTGGTGGGGCTGTGCTCTGGGCATCGCTCCCGGGTAGGTCCTGCCGTAGCCCAGCTCTCATGTGTGACAGGGTCTGGCCCAGGGGAAATCGATGCTGGGGAGGCTGCGAAGCGTGTCAGGCAGGGGAGTGTTGCTGGCTTCTGCCTGTGGCTGGCTGCAGCCCCGCTGAGCAGAGGAGTTCTGAGCTGTCACCTGCCAGGCCTGAGTTTGTGAGAGCCTTGTTGTGACAGGGAACCATCCCGATAAGGTGCTGGGAAGCACCAAGGCTTCCCCAAAGTCTCCAGCAGACAGTTGTGCTTGTACCTGCAGACCACGGCCATACTGGCAGAGCTGGGGGCCCCTCGTCTCTCAGCGGTGCTGGGTGTGGAGCACGAGCAGGTTTCCCTGGCTGCCTGCAACCTTCTGCATGTGATGTTCGATTCCCTGAAGGAAGGCCTGCAGAAGGACTTCCGTGGCAAGGAGGATGCAGTGGTGCTGGGTGAGTGCCTGCCACCCTGGCTGGCTGGCGTGGGGTGGGGAGAGCACTCCGGGGAGGCTCTGAGCTGCAGCGGGTTTGTCTCCTGCTGCCCGCCTTTGTCACTGCTCCCTGCCACAGAGCCAGGGCTCTGGTCCAGGGCTAATATGAGATTGAGCTGGGAGGCAGGAGCCCCTTGTCATGGTAGCAGCTCCTGCCAGCCTTACCATGGCAAGGTTGAGGCCTGTGCCCAGGGTGCTGACTCCTGGGCACTGTGTCTTCTGGAAGATTCTTCCAAGGACCTGAAACTGTTGATCAAGCACCTCCTGGAGCTGCTAGCGCTGGAAGGGGCTTCTGCGCATGGCCGTGACAATGCCCTCAACCTGCTCATCAAGGTGGTGCCCAGGAAGTCACCGAAGGAGACCAACAACAGCATGAGCCTCTGGGTGATCGACCAGGGTGAGCAGAACAGCCAGCAGCATCCCGCTGGGGCATCGTGCCTCTCTGCCTCAGGGTGCTGTGTGCCTCGGTTCCACCTGTGCACCCCGTTTTGCTCTTAACTGGGTGTTTGATCTCCATGTCCTCCTAGGCTTGAAGAAGATCCTGGAGGTGGGAAGTACAGTGTGTGGCACCCCGGGCAGCCTGCCCGTGACAGAGAACAGCCGGATGAGTGCCTCGGTTCTGCTGAGCAAGCTTTATGATGACCTGAAATGCGATGCCGAGAGGGAAAACTTCCACCACTTGTGCGAGGACTACGTGAGGTAACCCAAGGCGTCCATGGGGGCAGAGCAGGCAGAGCGGGGTTTCAGTCTCGTACAGCCAGCAGCCTTCTGGGGAAGTAGCAGCCCCCCTATCCCCAGACCTTTTCATTCTTAGTGATAAAAGCAGATTGCAGACCCACCAGAGACCCGCTGTGGTGGGCTTCAGTGGAGGGGGCCGTGTGTGGCTGAAGGCTGTGGGTGGGCTCAGCCTTATCCTTCCTGGTGGTCTTCCCCTGCAGGAGCTGGTTTGAGGGGCACGAGCTGGCTGGGAAGCTGCGGGCCATCCAGACGGTGTCATGCCTGCTGCAGGGCCCCTCAGATGCTGGGAACAGGGTGCTGGAGCTGGATGGGATCATGGACAGCGTGCTGTCCCTCTGCGCCTCCGTCTGCGAGGCCCACCAGCTGGTAGCGGTGGAGGCGCTGATCCACGCTGCTGACAAAGCTAAGCGTGCCTCCTTCATCACCGCCAACGGTGTCAGCCTGCTCAAGGAGATCTACAAGCACAGCGAGAGAGACAGCATCCGCATCCGAGCGCTGGTGGTGAGCACGCCGGGAGCGTGGTGGGATGGGAGGAGCAGCAGCTGTGCTGAGCCCTTGGGTGGTGCTGGGTGGGCTGTGGCTGCAGGGCCTACAGCGCTGTCCTCTCCCTGCTGGGGGTCTCTCAGAGGCACCTTGGGGTGACCGTGGCCATTCCTGCTCTGACGCCCTGCTCCTGACTGCAGGGACTCTGCAAGCTGGGGTCCGCCGGAGGCACTGACTTCAGCATGAAGCAGTTTGCTGAGGGCTCCACAATGAAATTGGCCAAGCAGTGCCGCAAGTGAGTGCTGCCAGCTGTGGGGCACAGGGGAGCCAGGCAGGGTGCCCCACAGCCTGGGCTCACGGGGCCCTTCTCCCAGGTGGCTCTGCAATGAGACGATTGATGCGGGCACACGGCGCTGGGCAGTGGAGGGCCTGGCCTACCTCACCTTCGATGCGGATGTCAAGGAGGAGTTTGTGGAGGACAAGGCAGCAATGCAGGCCATGTTCCACCTAGCCAAGGTGTGTGCTGAGCGCCGTGGCGGCGGCCCTGGGTGGTGGGCACCATGGCACTAGGGAAATGTGCCGGAGGGGGTTGTGGGGCTCACACTGTGGGGCTGGGGTTTGTGCAAGGGGCCCAGTGGTGCTGAGTGGGCTTGAGCTCTGGCCTGTTCTCTCCATCATGGGTGTGATGGGTGCCCTGTTATCGCTGCAGTCAGAGGACAGGAGCGTGCTCTACGCCGTTGCCTCCACATTGGTGAACTGCACCAACAGCTATGACCATGAGGAGCCAGACCCCCAGATGCTGGAGCTGGCCAAGTACGCCAAGCAGCACATTCCAGAGCAGCACCCCAAGGTAAGCAGGCCACGGCTGTTCTCAGGAGCTGCTAGGAGCCCTGGCCCCAGAGGAGAGTGTGTGGGTGGGCAGAGCCTCCGGTCCTGAGTGGGGACAGGGCGTCCCTGGGGCCTTCGGGGTGAGGTCAGAGGCCTTGCAGTGGATGGCAGCAGGTGGCAGGCTGGTGGCACTTGAGCCGAGCAATGACCTGCCTCTGGGACAGGACAAGCCGGACTTTGTGAAGCGCCGGGTGCGGAAGCTGCTGACGGCTGGTGTGGTGTCAGCTCTGGCCTGCATGGTGAAGAGCGAGAACCCGGCACTCACCAACTCCTGCCGGGAGCTGATCTCCAGGTATGGGTGTGCTGGGGGGGTGGCAGGGAGGGAGCTGGGTTCTGAGGCTGCTGGTGCACTTATGTGCCTGTGGTGAATGCAAGCTCCCAAGAGCAGAAAGGGGGTGTCTGGGAGTCTGGCATAGCCTGCGCCCACTGCGGGTGTCTGGGTGCTGCTGGGACCCACTGCGGTATGTCCCTGACTCCGCTGCTCCTGCTTTGTCCCTAGGGTGTTCTTGGCGCTGGTGGAGGAGGCGGAGGACCGGGGTGGTGTGGTTGCACAGGGAGGAGGCAAGGTGAGGATACAGGCCCTGCTGTGCTGCTGGCCTGTGCCATGTAGCGGGCTCTGGGGAGGGCTGGGGCTCTGTAGGGGTGGCTCTTGTTTGGCAAGGATCGCACTGGCTCCCTCGTACAGGAGACTTGAGGAAGCTGGGGCTGCTGTGACCTCGCTGCAGGACTGGCTGCTGTGTCTCTGCATGCAGGCTCTTATCCCACTGTCCCTGGAGGGCACCGAGGTGGGGCAGACCAAGGCAGCTCAGGCCCTGGCAAAGATCACCATCACCTCCAACCCAGAGATGGCGTTCCCTGGAGAGCGGGTTAGTGTCACCGCTGTGGGCTGGGGGTCTGCCAAGCAGGGCTCCTGCAGTCAGGGCTGCACAGGGAGCATGGGAGCAGCAGCAGGGACGTGGCTGCAGCTGGGGCTGAAGGCCACAGGGCTGGTGAGCCAAGGTGGGATCTGAGCTGCAGGAACTGCCAGCATGGGTTTCCCCTTCCCTGGGGTGTGGGAGGTGGCAAGACCCCTGGTGTTCCCCACAAAGGCCCAATGGCTGAGGCCTGACCATGGGAGCAGTTCTGCCTTTAGTCTGGGCTCAGGGCTCCCTGTGCCCCCTTCTCCACAGGGTGCAGAGTCCCTGCCCCTCGCTCGGGGTTTGAGCCCTGCACTGCCATCTCCACAGATCTATGAGGTGGTCCGACCCCTGGTAAGCCTTCTGCACCTTCAGCGCACAGGCTTGGAGAACTTTGAGGGGCTGATGGCGTTAACCAACCTGGCTGGCATCAGCGAGAGGCTGCGGTAGGGGCGGTGGGGCCAGCAAGGAGCTGGACCGGGTGGGGGGAGAGAGGGGGCTCTGGCCTGGGATGTGTGCTGCCCTGGGCAGGGAGTGCTCATGCACACCCTGCCACAGGCAGAAGATCCTGAAGGAGAAGGCTGTGCCCATGATCGAGGGGTACATGTTTGAGGAGCACGAGCTGATCCGGCTGGCTGCGACAGAGTGCATGTGCAACATGGCTATGAGCAAGGAGGTGAGGGCTGAGCCAGGGTGGGCTGGGCGTCTGCGCTGGGCTCCCAGCCCCCCACCCTCCTCCTCCTCCTCCTCCTCCTCCTCTGCAGGTGCAGGAGCTGTTTCTGGCCGAGGACAGTGACCGGCTGAAGCTGATGGTCCTGTACAGTGGGGAGGAGGATGAGAAGCTGCGGCGGGCAGCCTCAGGGACCCTGGCCATGCTGACCGCCCTGCACCCCGCCATCTGCAAGCGGATCCCTCAGGTGGTGAGTGCCTGGCAGTGGGGTGGGGGCACCTGGCACCCCCTGGGACCGCACCCAGTGTCCCATATTCCCTCCCACTCCTGTCCTGGAGCTGTATCCCAGTGCTGGCCCTGGGAGATGGGGGAACCTATCCTGACCTGAGGCTGATTCTGAGCCAAGGGCTGGGGGTGTTGGGGGCCAGCAGGGCTGCAGGGAGCTGGCCCCCCTTCTTGCAGGGGGCAGTGCTGAGCATGGCTCCGCTCCCCCTGCAGACGGTGCACTGGCTGGAGATCCTACAGGCCCTGCTGCTGAGCCCCAGCACGGAGCTGCAGCACCGCGGGGCCGTGGTGGTGATGAACATGATGGCGGCCGAGCGGGAGGTGGCGGAGCAGCTCATGGCCAGCGAGATGCTGGAGATCCTCTCGGTGCTCGCCAAGGACAAGGACAAGCCACGCGTGGCCCAGGCGGCCAAGGAGAGCCTGGCGCAGGCGGTGGCTTATGGCCTCATCAAGCCCAACCCCGGCCAGGAGTGAGGGCCTGGTGGGGGGCTGCCCGCACACGCTGCTTCGGGCTGGCGCTCGCTCACTGCCCCGGTGGGGGGGGCTGCCCGGGGGGGGTCCCGGCTGCCTGCTGGGGCTGGCACACTGCTGCCCCGGGGCCGCGGCTGCGCCTGCCCAGTGCCCCCGGGGCGAGGGGGAGGATGGGGCTCGCCGCTGCCTCTGCCACCGTCTGCCTTAACCGGGCGGGCCGGGGCCCTGCACGGCGGCAGGCCCGCCCGGTGACACCGCACTAAAGCTGCTCTTGGACCACGGCCCGGTCTCCGTCCCTCCCTCCCGCCGCC